CCCAGAAAGCAAATTGCTGGTACGGTTGATTTGTTATACTGCCATATAATGCCTCTCTTATCACTCTGATTTATCAGTCTAATTTCTCATACCATTTGAATATATTGGTTATTCCCCATGCCTGAAGACACAAAATAATAAAAAAAATGATCATCAGTAAATATATACAAAACACATCCCATTGGGATATATCATTTAGGCCACATTAAAATGTATATATTGGTCTAATGAGTTTTACATTGGTTATAAGTTACCTAACATAACCTTCGTCTTTTATACGGACTTGAAACCAATGTGTAAAATAGTAGAGACACGGAGGTTTTAGCCCACATCAAAAATGAGGCGGCCTATCTAATTGGACTTTGCATGACTCATGGGGCCTTTCAAAACCCAAACCAAGTCGTTTCTTCTTTTTTATTTTCTCTTCTTTTTTTTTTTTGGGAAAATATCTGGGATTTTTTTGGCCAGTTGTTGGAATTAGTTTTTTTGAGCCTTGAGCAATCTGCTTTCATTTTCGCGACTGGTTTCTTATTATTCTTAGTAGCAGAAAAAAAGGGTCACGCCTATAAATAAATGGAGAAGACGCTCACTGGTCATTCTCTCTCTCTCTCTCTCTCGTGTGCTCAGTTGCAGCTCAAGTGTTTGATTAATTTCCCCAAAGAACATTTCTTTTGGTTCATCTATGTCAACTCTGAGAATCTATAATTCATTAGTTTCTGTTGTTACCAACAACGCCATATAGCTTAGGTGGGCATGGGAAATGGCCTAGTGGCATTGAGACAATCTCCAATGTGCAATTCAGGCGGGTTTGAGTCACTTCTTCTCTTCCTCCCCGTGTGTGTGTGTGAGTTTTACATGAAAACAATTTTATCTGATTTCCTTATGTCCCGAGGAAGAGAAAAAGAAGTACAACACCATATACTGTTCATTCATGAATTCATATATGCAACTTCTTAACTAGTTCCGAAGGAAAAATTTTTGTAACAGGATGTCTTCTTTTTATATGATATATTGTATTCATCTTGAATTCAGGGATAAATCTAGGAATTCAATTTCAACCCAAAGTTTTAAACTTGCCCAGAAAGCAAATTGCTGGTACGGTTGATTTATGTTATACTGCCATATAATGCCTCTCTTATCACTCTGATTTATCAGTCTAGTTTCTCATACCATTTGAATATACTAGTTATTCCGCATGCCTGAAGACACAAAATAATAAAAAAAATGATCATCAATAAATATGTACAAAACACATCCCATTGGGATATATCATTTATGCCACATTAAAATGTTTATATTGGTCTAATGAGTTTTAAATTGGTTATAAGTTACCTAACATAACCTTCCTCTTTTATCCGAACTTGAAACCGATGTGTAAAATAATACAGAGACGGAGGTTTTAGCTCACATCAAAAATGCGACGGCCTATCTAATTGGGCTTGCATGACTCATGGGGCCTTTCAAAGCCCAAACCAAGTCGTTTCTTTTTTTTTTATTTTCTCTTTTTTTTTTAGAAAAATATCTGGGGTTTTTTTGGCCAGTTGTTGAGAAAGGCTCTTAGTTTTTCTGAGCTGCGAGCAATTCTGCTGTCATTTTCGCGACTGGTTTCTTATTATTCTCATTAGCAGAAAAGAAGGGTCACGCCTATAAAGAAATGGAGAAGACGCTCACAGGTCACTCTGTCTCTCTTGTGTGCTCAGTTGCAGCTCAAGTGTTGCATCAATTTCCCCAAAGAACATTTCTTTTGGTTTTATCTATGTCTAACTCTGAGAATCTATAATTCCGATTAGTTTTTGTTGTTACCAACAACGCCATATAGCTTATGTGGGCGTGGTAAATGGCCTAGTGGCATTGAGACAATCTCCAATGTGCAATTCAGGCGGGTTTGAGTCACTTCTTCTCTTCCTCCCCGTGTGTGTGTGATTGTTACATGAAAACAATTTTATCTAATTTCCTTATGTCCTGGGGAAGAGAAAAAGAAGTACAACATCATATACTGTTCATTCATGAATTTATATACGCAACTTCTTAACTAGTTCCGAAGGAAAAATTTTGGTAACAGGATGTCTTCTTTTTATATGATATATAGTATTCATCTTGTATTCAGGTATAAATCTAGGAATTCCACTTCCACCCGAAGTTTTAAACTTGCCCATAAAGCAAATTGCTGGTACGGTTGATTTATGTTATATTGCCATATAATGCCTCTCTTATCACTCTGATTTATCAGTCTAATTTCTCATACCATTTGAATATACTAGTTATTTCGCATGCCTGAAGACACAAAATAATAAAAAAAATGATCATCAATAAATATATACAAAACACATCCCATTGGGATATATCATTTAGGCCACATTAAAATGTTTATATTGGTCTAATGAGTTTTACATTGGTTATAAGTTTTCTAACATAACCTTCATCTTTTATCCGGACTTGAAACCGATGTGTAAAATAGTAACCGATTGTGAAAAATAATACAGAGACGGAGGTTGTAGCCCACATCAAAAATGCGGCTGCCTATCTAATTGGGCTTGCATGACTCATGGGGCCTTTCAAAGCCCAAACCAAGTCGTTTCTTTTTTTTTTATTTTCTCTTTTTTTTTTTAGAAAAATATCTGGGGTTTTTTTGGCCAGTTGTTGAGAAAGGCTCTTAGTTTTTCTGAGCTGCGAGCAATTCTGCTGTCATTTTCGCGACTGGTTTCTTATTATTCTCATTAGCAGAAAAGAAGGGTCACGTCTATAAATAAATGGAGAAGACGCTCACAGGTCTCTCTCTCTCTTGTGTGCTCAGTTGCAGCTCAAGTGTTCGATCAATTTTCCCAAAGAACATTTCTTTTGGTTTTATCTATGTCTAACTCTGAGAATTTATAATTCTGATTAGTTTTTGTTGTTACCAACAACGCCATATAGCTTAGGTGGGCGTGGGGAATGGCCTAGTAGCATTGAGACAATCTCCAATGTGCAATTCAGGCGGGTTTGAGTCACTTCTTCTCTTCCTCCCCGTGTGTGTGTTAGTGTTACATGAAAACAATTTTATCTAATTTCCTTATGTCCCGGGGAAGAGAAAAAGAAGTACAACATCATATATTGTTCATTCATGAATTCATATACGCAACTTCTTAACTAGTTCCGAAGGAAAAATTTTGGTAACAGGATGTCTTCTTTTTATATGATATATAGTATTCATCTTGAATTCAGGGATAAATCTAGGAATTCAACTTCAACCCAAAGTTTTAAACTTGCCCATAAAGCAAATTGCTGGTACGGTTGATTTGTTATACTGCCATATAATGCATCTCTTATCACTCTGATTTATCAGTCTAATTTCTCATACCATTTGAATATATTGGTTATTCCCCATGCCTGAAGACACAAAATAATAAAAAAAATTATCATCAATAAATATATACAAAACACATCCCATTGGGATATATCATTTAGGCCACATTAAAANTATCATCAATAAATATATTTGTATTCACACTCAAAATCAAATTGCAAACATAGTGGAGGGAGAAAAAAATTTAAGTATCAGTTGTAATGAAAGTGAGCGGTGGTAGTGGTGATGGTGATGGTGATGGGTGGCAATGGTGGTGGTGAGAGATGGTGATGATTGTAGTGGGTGGCGACGACCGTGGTGATAGTGGTAGCCATGGATAACAACGTTAATGGTGGTGATGGGTTTTAGGTGACGATGGTGGTAGTGCCAACCATGGTTGACGGTTGTGGTAATGATGGGTGTGGGTGGTGGTGGGCGACAATGATGGTGGTTGACTGTGGTTGTGGTGAGATAACGATGGTGGTGGTGGGCGATGATGGGTGCTTCTGGAAGACAGAATGATAGGTAGTGGTTGTGATAAGTGTGGTGGGGATGGGTGACAGTGGTTGATGGCCGTGGTGGGCGAGGACAGGTGGTGGTGGTGGTAGGTGTGGTGGGAGTGGTTGACAGTGGTTGTGGCAATGGTGGGCGATGATGGATGGTAATGGTATGTGTGGTGGGGGTGGGTGACAGTGGACGATGACAAGTGGTGGTAGTTTGTGGTAGTGAGTGGCGGTGGGCAACAATGGTGGTGGTGAGTGCGATGATGGGGTGACGATGATAGTGCGATGATGGTGGTAGTAATAATAAATATAAGAATGAGATGACGATAGTGGTGGGTGGTGACGATAAACGACAGTGGTAGTAGGCGGTAGTGAGTGGTGGTGGTGGTGGTGGAGATGGGGGTAGTGAGGGTGGGGCAGGGGTGGTGGTAGGCTAGTGATGGTGATGGTGGCAGCGATGGCGATAGTGGTGGTAGCGGTGATAGTCGTGGGGATGGTGGTGGGACGGTGGGTNTAGAGTGTTAATATTAATTGTCGGATTAACTTTAAAGTAAAATTTAAAAAGATCTCAACTGCAAAAAGTAAAATTCATTTTGTTTATCTTTTGAAATTTGAATTGTATTATACTTTATTATATAGATTAGTTATTTCACATGCCTAAAGATACGAAGTAATAAAAAAAATTGTCAACAATAAATATATTTGTATTCACACATAAAATCAAGTTACAAAGATAGAGGAGAAATAAATAATTTAAACACTGATTATAATAGGGGCGAGCGATAATAATATGATGGTGGGTGGCAATAATAGTGGTGAGAGACAGTGATAGTTGTGATGGATGATGAAAACCGGTTGTAATTGTGGTAGTTATAGGTGACAATGGTGATGGTGGTGGGGGGCAGTGGGGGTGATGGTGGAATAGTGGCGGTGGTGGTAAGGTGGCGGCAGTGGTTGTGGTGGTGGGGCACTAATGGGGCGGTGGTGGTGGGGTTACGATAGTGGACGTGGTGAGGCGGTGGTGCTGGTTGTTGCAGAAGAGATGATGGTGGGGTGGTAGTAGTGGTGGCATGACTATGGTAGTGGGGCGATGGTTGTGGTAGGGTGGTAACAGTGGTGGTGGGGTGGCGGTGGCGGTGGCGGTGGCGGTAGTGGTGATTGTGATGGAGCGGTTGTCAAACACTATTTTTTTTTTAAAGTACTTATGAAAAATTATAAGTATTAAAAACACCTTTAAAAGGTCACTCCAAATACACCCTTAAAGTCTAATTTTTTATATTAAATTTATAGTATTAATATTAGCCGTCTGATTAACTTTAAAGTAAAATTTAAAGAGATCTTAATCGTGATTAGCAAAAGTCATTTTATTTATTTTTTGAAATTTGAATTGTATTGTACTTTATTATATAAATGGTTGAATGGCACCGCAAGCGCAACATGATTAGTTGTTGGTATTGCTTATTCCTTCTATTTTGAACATACCAATTAGGGTAAATATCATTCACACTCCCTGACATTTGGTTTTATTATATGGACACCCTCTCACATTTTAAAAATGACACTGAGATCCCAATAGGTGAATGACGTTAATAATATAATTAAAAAGACTGTTTTCCCCTTGATTAATTGATCAAACTCATGACCAGATCCAAACCCATCGCCCCATGCCCAAGACAATATTCCGTGACACGACCCGTGGCCCATAACCTAAAACCCTTGATGCCCGAAGCCCTAACAACTAGGCACCACCCATTTTCCCTTTTTCCCAACACCACCCCCAACCTCCATCGTTCACAATCACCGCTCTCTCTCACTGTATGTAGTCTCCCACACCTCCAACCTCCACTCAATCTCGCTTTGCCTCCCACACACCGTCGCTTTAGGAGGAGGCACCACCACCACCGAACCAACCCTCCATGACTCACGATAGAACTCTCCCAACACTTGAAAAGTAGATTTGAAGCATAGATGTTATATCGAAGTATAGATATAAAAAAATTTGATCAATTTGAAGCACAAATCGCAGATCGCTAACGAAGCTTGCTCAAACAGATCGCATATCGCGTATGTGTTTCTTATGTATGAGAGAGAGAGGGAGGGGGGAGAAATGTCGTGCAGTGTGCAAATGTGGTTGTTGGTGGTGCATTTGTGTGGTGGCAATGGTGAGCAGAGGTGGTTGATTATGGGTTTGATCTAGATGGTTTGGTGTGGTTTGAAGATGGGTTGGGTCCAGGTGGTGGTTTTAGTGGTGGTGGAGACGGAGGTGGTTTTTAGTGGGTTCTCTCTCTCTCTCTCTCTCTCTCTCTCTCTCTCTCTCTCTCTATGCTATCCCTTGTTGTGAATGGGTTTAGGCGGTGGTGGAACAGGTGGTGATGGGTGGCTGCCGGCGGGAGGAAGAATATATGTAATTAGATAAATAATAAATATAAATAAAATTAATATGGGATAATAATTGAATAGGTAGTTATTAAGATTTTAACTTATTAATTTGATAGATTTGAAAGTTAAACATTTAAGGGTTAAAATTTTAATTTATATATGAAATAAATAAGGGGTAAATTTGTAGGGTAAACAAAATATATATTTAATTTCTTAAATTTAATTTTGGAGGGCATTTTTGGTATTCTAAGAATTGTTATTGATGACATCAGTTTTGACTGTTAATAATTCTAACATCTATTAGTGGGAGGAGGTGTGGCTGCTACAAGTTATAAATGTTAAGGGAGGTCGGTGTCATTCTTAAAATGTGAGGGGGTGTAAGTGATATTTACCCTATCAATTAATTAAATTTTCCCTTTATTTACAGCTCTACATGTGAAAGAAATGCATTCATCAGGTATCGAAACTTCCACAAAGAATACAATAACATGCTTGTCAAATCAAACGACAGAAGTTTTCCCTGCCCATAAGGAAGAAGGCAAGAATCGGATTGTAGTTAAAATGTGTGGAATTACATCAGCTAGAGNTCGACAGAAGTTTTTCCTGCCCATAAGGAAGAAGGCAAGAATCGAATTGTAGTTAAAATGTGTGGAATTACATCAGCTAGAGATGCTGCTCTGGCAGCAGAAGCGGGTGCTAATTTGATTGGGATGATTCTTTGGCCTCACTCAAAACGATCTGTTTCATTTGCTGTGGCAAAAGAGATTTCCAGAGTTGCTCGGGAATATGGTGCAGAACCTGTTGGGGTATTCGTGGATGATGATGTCGACACAATATTGAGAGCTTCTGAGGCTGCAGACCTTGAACTTGTGCAGGTAAGTTTCGGTCTAACGGTAATTACATTCCACTAAGCTTCATGCTTTTCCTTGAGGCTGTAATATATGGAAGCCATGCAGCTTCATGGAGATGGTTCTCGTGCTGCTTTTCCATATTTAATTAGAGAAAGACGGGTAATATTTGTCCTACATGCTAATGAAGATGGAGTTCTTCTGAACCATATTGCCGATGAAGAATGTTCTCTAGTTGATTGGATGCTTGTTGACAGTGCAAAAGGTGGCAGGTATAAAATTTCTCCTCTCCATATATATCCATTCGTGGCTCACATTTTGTATGTCTTTCTTTTATATCTTTATGGGATCTGGAGTATTGCTTCAACAAAGATTAAGAATCAGCTTTGCACCTCATAATTCCCATGCACATGGGAATTATGATGCAATTATTTTAGGGTCTAACATTGGTCTAAATCATCATCTTTTATATTACTATCCATGTTTCATTTGGATGCAATATTTTAAATGGGTGGTTTTCTTTTGCTAGTAAACATGAGTGTCAAGGTATACTTTTTTTGTTGTTGTTAGGGTTAGACCATTATTAACGACCTGCACTGGTACATCTAATGTACTTGTTCTTACTCACTTGTCCTGCAGTGGTAAGGGGTTCAACTGGTCCCAGTTCAAGCTACCACCAATCAGAAGTAAACATGGATGGATTTTGGCCGGAGGGATGAACCCTGAGAATGTATGTGAAGCTCTTTCTACTCTTAAACCGCAGGGGATTGATGTTAGTAGTGGCATTTGTGGTTCAGATGGCATTCAAAAGGATAAGTCACGGATTTCATCCTTCATAAGTGCAGTAAATTCTGTACAATATGATTGATAGTGAGGAACGTAAATTGACAAGAAAACTTAATTGGCATATTGAGGAGGAGCCTTGGTTTGTAATAGTCGATATTTGGTTCTCTTTAGTCAGCGTTTAGTTCTTTCCCTATACTTCAGTACTAAACTATTCTAAATATCAAGAAAAAGATGCTTTCAGTTGATTTTTTGTTGAGCTTGCAGGCATCTTTATACTTACATAAGGCTGAATACAACACTTTTCTGAGAAGCTGGATAATATTTGACAGCTGCTAATAAACAACCAGAAACAGGTATGTAGATGGAATTTGGTTTGGGGTGTGTGTGCATGTGTACATGAGAGAGAGAGAGAGAGTACCCCAAAAAAAATGAATTCTTTCTTCCGCAAATTATAGCATATACAACAACTTCATGTGCCCGTATCAGCAAATGACACTCCGGCTTATCTGTGGCATGCAGCCCCTGTGGCAGGGAAAGAATATATGTGCAGCAGGATGGTAGCTTTTAATTGTCATTGTAAAAGCTTGTTATTTTTTGTGTCAATGGTCAAGAAAGAAGTTGGTCACTAAGGATCAGTTTCTTAGTAGGCTGCTCTTGTTCTACTGTTTCATGCTTCTCACAAGGATTTCCCAGTTAATAAAACAGAAGAGTCCCCCAATTCTTCGGCTCCCTGCAGTACTTTCGAAGCACTGGCTTAGCAGCTTCCTTCAATGACATCAGAATGACAAACCGATATGGGAAACTTTCAAATTATTCATGGCAGCCAAATGTTGTGGGAATACTCGCTGCTTCTAGCAGGTGGTAGTGTCGGATTTGTGGGACGAGGGGATGTATGAAAGGTGTTCCTATATCTTTGGGGGTTTGCTGGCTTTCTGGCTAGCTTGTGCAATCAATGAAAAAATCCTTCGCGTTAGTAAGCTAGCTTTGGTTGCTCAGCAAGTCCAGTTCATGTGGCGAAGTTTAGTAGACAGGAAGCAAAAAGCCAAGAGGTGGTGCTCTGCTCGTATTCTCCAGAGAAGCTCAACATGGCAGTCCTATTCTAGCCCTCAATAGTTCTTAAACCCAATCCACATTCATCCTTCGGTCTACATTGGACCAGCTGATCGTATAGATCTTATAGTGATCCTCCAGCTGCTGGCTCGCTTTTGCAGCAGTCCAAAAGCCTGCACTCATACTTTCCTGGTCTTCAGTTACTAATCTTCCTATAATGACTTTTCCTGCTTTCTTGAGTCTGGATTTCCACATTATAGGTTCTCTTCGTCGCCCTTTTGAGATAGGGCCTTCTTCGGGTGGATATTATTTATTCATCTATATGATCGAACGTAGTAAGCCCTCCCTCTCAGGTAGATCCATTTCTGTTTGATTATTGTTCAAAAAAGATGGTGTTCTGGGTGCAAAATCCGAGTCAAAAACTTAAGAAATCTGATACGATCTGATACCTTTCCACGATTCTTCAAGGCCACGTTGATGCAAGTAGGTCACATGACAAACAACTGCACCAAAGACAATGAAAGAAACTCGTAAGACATTTAGATGACAGACTTCAAACAATTGGAGAGGACCCATCATCACAGGGGACAAACCAACAATTTTCTAGTGGTGAGTGATGGCGAGGCGCTCTCAATGAGCTGTGGTTGTGTCATATAGGGTTTGATGTGTTGGGTAGTGGTTATGGCATTGGGTTTTGGTGTTTGTGGTGGTGGTGGTTCTGCTTGTTTGGGGTTGTCTTGGTGGGGGTAGAGGTGTTCTTGCGTGAGACTTTTGGCGGGGCGTTGTTATTCAGCATGATGTAACGATAATACTACATCAGCCCTTTTTAAATAAGGTGGGTTATTAGTAGTTATTAAAATAGTGGAATTCAATAAGTCCACTAAAAATTAAAAAAAATGCTACGTCAAATACTTTCTTAATCATGAACCCAATCACGAAACTATATACTGACCTTAGCATGTTCCTTGCATGGTTCAAGGAAAGAAGCATCCTCAACAAAATGGTAGCTATATTTTCTTACTGTCTAATACTAGGTATGTTCAATTTTAACGATCAAGAAACAATTTAAAGGATAATGGTGACTTTCAACGTTCTATTATTTGTGAACTTGATTATGGTGTCCAACACAATACGAGAAATGGTATGATATATTCAAAACTGTTATGTTTATGCTAAAATATTAAAGGAACATAATGGATTTTTTTAAAAGATGCTACAAAATCTTAAGTATTGAAACTTTGAAATCTGGTTGTTGGGTTCGAATATTGTTGTATGGTTTAATGTCGAGTCATCAAGACATTAGAATGAACCATTTTTTTATTTTTTATGAACTAATATTTATTTCTTCTAGACCTCATACAAGCATAAATCTTATGTACTGAATACGTCTTATTTGAGTCACTCCGATCTAGGTCTAGTTTTAAAAATGTTAGAAACAATGATCTGCCTGCCAAAAAAAAAAAAAAACTAAGCAAATAGGTCCTTCAAACATCTCTACTAATGGCTGTATTTGTTGCATGTATAGTTTTCTTAGCTTAGAAATAAAGACATTTGCTATTCATCAAATACAAAAGAAGTGAGGGATTTGTATTGAAATGCAATACAAATCTGAAAAGTAAGAACTGTCCAAGGCAAGTCCATCATAATATTTGATTGATAATTAATTCTCTTCACTCATTGATGTCTTCTTAGTTAAGTTTTTTTATTAATTGTTCATTTGTTAATGTTGTGGGTGGCATTTTTGTGTGATATTAACAATGCACCACGTGTGTTGTGCGTGAATAATTTTTTTATATAAAATATTAGTAAAAATTTTTAAGTGTATGTGTACTTAAATTAAATATCATCTCAAATTTATAAAAATTATATTTTTATCTCTCGTATTATACTATAGAATTCCAAAAAAAATTATATGTTACCAACGATTCGTTGTCCTAACTAAAAGAAAAAAAAATGATAAAAATAATTCAATTTGAAATTCATTTATTTAGATTTCAACTTATACTTCATTGAATAAAATAATAATAATTGTCAACATTCTAATTAATACTTATTGTTTAAGGGGGCAACATAGTCAATTAAATTTTTTTATAAATATTGATATTTATGCGGAAGAGAATAGAGAATTAAAATAGTTGTTAGGGATAATTTGAATATTTAAACACAAAAAGATAATGTGATTTTTAAAATTCTTTATAAGGGTAAAATATTGAATTAAAAATTTTTCATACTAAGGTACTTTATTAGTAATTAGCAATAGGGATGACAGTGGACCAAGGAAAAACATGTATTCGTCCAAACCCGTCCTATTTGGACCGAGAATGGACTATACGTATTATACGGTAAACGTATATAGAAATACCCGTATAAACCTATGCAGGGATGGAAGCGAATATGTACTTATCCTTACCCCTGTCTTGTCCCCGTTACCCGTTTTCTATATATATATATATTCTTGAAACCCTAATTTACTCTGTTCTACCTCACCCAGCCTTCAACTGCCTCCATCTCTCTCTCTCTTCGACACACAGTGACACAAGCCTTCAAAAAAAGGCATACAATTATAGTTTAAATAAATATAATGGGGACAAAAAAGGGTTAAGGTATCTAATCCTTTGGCTTGCTTTGTGGATTCCACTTCTTCAAATCCTTTTCTTCATACTTCTTTTCTCGGATATGTTCTCTCTTTACTCTCCTTTCCCCTATTTCTCATTGCTTTGGTTGATTGTGACATTATCAAATATTTTAGAAGCTAGTGGTGATATTTAAACATTTCATGTAGGTATCAAAAAACTATTGCACATATAAAATATCTTACTCTGATTTTCTATTCAGAAGGATGAATATCTGCATATGATTAGATGATTTCCTATTTTGGCAAAATTGCTCTTTCATTGTGCCTATTTCCTAAATTGCTCTAAATATCATCTATAAAAAGGCTTAGGCTTTGGCGGGTAAGGGGGAAGCGAGGACGAGGGTGGGAATTAGAAATTTATCTGCGAATGGGGATGGAGATGAAAACTATACTCGCTAATAGGTATGGACGGAGATTTTTTAAGCAGGTACGGGGATGGAGNGAAGGCTTAGGCTTGGGCGGGTAAGGGGGAAGCGAGGACGAGGGTGGGAATTAGAAATTTATCTGCGAATGGGGATGGAGATGAAAACTATACTTGCTAATAGGGATGGACGAAGATTTTTTAAGTAGGTACGGGGATGGAGACAACACCCCTCGCCCTCGCTTTGATCCATTGACATCCCAATACATGACGAACATTGCACGTAAATAAATTTAAATAAAAAATTTTATAAAAAGATTATTTATATGTATAATTAAATCAAATAATAAATTAGATTTCGAATAAGGATTATTTTAATTATTATTAGTTTATTCTATTAGTCTCTGAGTACTTAATTTGTCTTTTATTTTAGGCATTTGTATAGCTAAATTATAGAATTATTAATTTTTATTTTGTTAAATAGATTGATCATACTAAAAAAATAAAATATAACATATATTTGACTGTGAAATTCAATATGATAACTACACGTGTATAATAATTTAACATGTCTATGTCTTTACTTATTCATATAGATATAAGAGATTGTACGTAACTGTATAATTAATAAATAAGTTCAAAAAAATTTAAAAATTTATATAAAAAAGTCTAAAATAAATTGAAAGTCAAATAAGAATAAAAAATAAAAATTAAATGAAAGTTTATAGGTGGGTATAATTGACTTTATTATAATAATTATGGATAAAATAAGAAATCAATTTTTTTTTACAAAAACTAACATTTATAAGTAATATAGATATAGATATTAGAGTTTCAATTAATAGAATCGGATAATAAATCTCCTTTGGTACGGCTTCGCTCAACGTGGTTTAGTTTTAAGTGGAATCCTTATCAATCCATAGTTGGTGATCCACTATTATTAAAAATTGAGAAAAAAATATATAAAAATGATACAAGTCAATTGCAACCTAATCAAGCAAAGTATCCCCCACAATATAATATATATATATATATATATGCTTAGTTGTAATTAGGCTACAGCATTACCACAAATGTTAGAGCATTAAAAAAAATAAAAAAATTAGTCACTTGTTTGTCATAAATTAATACATGGATGTGAATTAGGGCAATGATGGTACGGCTCAGAAATAATAAGAAAAAAGGTAGTGCTAAGAATTTTAAAAAAAAAAAAAAAAAGATTAAAAGATGTAGTAT